CCCCCTATTGGCTTTTGAGGACATGGTGAAAAATTCCCCGCGAGTAATTCCTGGCTGTTGTGCCCGTGGCCATTTCAACCCAGTCACCTCCCTTCGCAACAATTCATTCTTCTCCTCTATCCGCTGCGCTATTTCCATAATCTCACCTAGCCCAGATGGCTTCAACAGCCTTAGTTCTGCCCGAACTTCAGCCCTGAGCCCATTAATGAAAATCCATTCCAATATCTCCTCTAGAACATCCCTGAGCGGGGCAGTCGTAATTTCGAACCTCCGACGGTAGTCGGCCACCAACCCATCTTGCCTAATCGCCAGAAACTTTTCGCATAAACTTCCTTCCTGAGACGAACGGAAACGCTGCAAGAGAGCCATCTTAAACTCCATCCAATTGAAGAAAGGCCTTCTCCCATTTTGCCATTGAAACCAGGACAAAGCTTCACTGTCCAAAGCTATTCCTGTCGTAATCAATTTCTCTCTCTTTCTGTACAGCGTTGGATTGCAAAAAACTGTTCCATCCTGAACACCCAACCGTCTGGGTCATCTCCACTGAAAACCGGGCATTCTATGTGCCGCCGGCGGTTAGCCACCCAGTCTTCGTCCTCAAAGGCTTCTTCTCGTCCTTCCATGTTCCTCTTAGATTCTCTGTTACTCCCTTCCCCGTGTGGAAAAACTGCCCTAGCAAAATCCCGCCGTCCTTCCTCTCTCACTCCTCCTCGCCACGCCTCACCGCCGCCATATCCGCGAGCTCCGACTCCACCGCCAGTTCCACCCCCATTCCTTCGGAATCCCTCCTCACCAATCACGCTCCACCAATTGCCTCGGTGCCCTAAGGTTTCCCCTCTCTGATTCCTTATCGACGCTTCCCGTCCACCATCACACCTGAGAATCTCCTCCCCCGCGAACTCTCGCCCAAAATCCCGCGGTCTGCGATCCACCGCGCAAATCTCCTCCTGCGTACCCAAAACGACTTCCGCTCGAGGCCCATCCTTTTCACTGGAATTATTCGACGCTGCTCCGCCGTCTGTCGCCGTTGCAATCGCCTTCGACTTCTCCGGCGCCGAAACTGCCGATGAAGAATTTTTCATGTTTTCCTCCCATAATCGACGAAGATCGATCAGACTTTGAATCAGCTCTGCCTTGACCTCTCTCACCTCCTTCTTCATCGCTTCTCTCATCTCCTTCTCGACGGTTTCGAATCTCTTCTCTGTCTTCCTGGTGCCATAATTTTTTTCCCATAACCTTGCTCTGATACCAAAATGATAGATTCTAGGGTTTCTTCCACACAACAAGAAAAAGAAAAGACGAAATGGAATCAAGAATCAGGAACTCTTATTGAATTATAGACAAATGTACATAACCGCAGTGCTTCGAGGGACTACAACCTCCCAGCTGGCTCAATTGCCAAGCTCCTCTCCAATTCTCTCTCTCGATCACCCCCCGTACCCCCTCTTCCCCTCCTATTTATTCGCCTCCACATTCCCTCCTAATATGTTGTAACTAACTCTCAGCCCCCTCAACCCTTCCCTTCTAACTTCCTCTAATCTGTTACAAGCCTAATCCGTTACAAGCAACTCCATTTACACCTGTTTCCCCTTCCTAACGAAAACCCGTCTGGCCAGAGGCTTGGTCTTGTCAGATGTTAGTCCACTAACAAGTTAAATAAGAGATAAGCCGGGCAATGGGGTCAGTCTACTATATGATTTCCATTTTAGGACCACAATGATTTAAAAGGCTGCGCTGCTGAGGGGAAGGAAGGAAGATTAGGTAGATTTTTTAAACTTTTAAAGGTTGAGGGAAAAGAAGTAAACATGTGAATAATTGTGACAAATTACGAGAGGGATTTTTTTTTTTCTTCTTGTTTTCTTTCCCTCTCTTTGAGTTTGATTGGTTGATATCTATTGATTCAGGCTTTTCTTTCCTTTTCTCATGCTATTATCTTATATTATGTCAGGTTTGTTTATAACTAATGTTTTCTCTAATATTGGTTGCAGATTCTCATCCAAGTTCAATGCTTTTCAGCTCTGTAATTGCTGAACATTGCACAAGACATGAAAAGATTTTGCAGTTCCTCATGTCCGGAGCAACTGAACCAGAGGGAGGCACAGTGGATTTAGCTTTACTTTCTGAGTTGATGGTTTTACAATCATTGAGAATTGATTCTCAGCAACAGCCAAGTCCTCTAATCTACCCTAGTACTTACGCCCAAAAGCCTCTTTTGGACTTTGTTGGAGATCTGATGGGTAGTTCAAGAATTACAATTCACCCAGATGGGCGAGTCTCATTCAATGGTACGGGGACTGAGGTTAAGGATCTACTTTCAGTTGTTGCTGAGTTTTACTTGTCAAAAAGCTCAGCTACGTGGGAAAAGCAGTCAATGCTTGTCCCACACTATAGTAGGTATGTGCGCCCTTTTTACTTGAATCATTTCCATATGCAATGTGCGTAGACATCTATTTATGTTTTTTTTTCTTTTTTTTATCGATGATACCACTGGATTGTGCGAAATACTCTTTCATATCTATCTCTTGTGAATTTGTGACTTTGCTACGGTGGTATTGGTATGAACCTTAAAAATTAGACCTTCATTACTTTTGAAAAAATAAAAAATACTTATATTTGATGAATGGAGTCGCAGGGTCTTTGTCATTATCCGTATGTGAAATGAAGGGCACATGTAACGATTACTTAGTCAGGAATCACTTGTTTCGCCAGACCTGAACATAATCAATTGCTTGATGAATATTTTTTGTATGCTTCTTACATGATTGATCATTCTTGACTGTGATGAAACTCTTTTCTCTTCTTTTATTGTCTGTATCTTTGATCAACATTTTTAAATGTTTGCCATTTCTATTCTTATGAAAACTTGACCCAGCTCATTTACGTTGACCAGGCTGGACAGCAGTGAAATACGAGTTCTTGTTGATGGGAATACTTTGAAGCTTCAAGCAACAACTGTTGCTCCTTTAAAAAGGTAGATGTACAAATACTTGTTTCTGCCCACTTTTCATTCACCATTGCCAACTTCAGTTTTGAGATTCTTTGATCAGTAACTAGCCAAAGAATATTGCAATGTGACTTGAGTCCATCTATTCTTGTCCTCCTAGCAAAAAGTTCAATTATGACATCCTTGCTAAGTTTGGTTAGTTTTGTGCTCAACAGCGCTGAAAAAGTCAAGGTCAAGTCACCAAAAAAGAAGAGTGGTAGAAAGGTATGCAGAGAGCGGGATCTCTACAAGAAGAACTACTTTCACGCATGTGAGAACCTTATATCTATAATGGTTGACAAGAGGAGGAAGCATTGTAAAACAGCAATCCTTTCACTAAAAAAGTCTGGCCCAGAGCTTCCTGAGCTCCTCACTCGTTTCTCTGCCGGCATTGCTGGGACTGGCCTGGCCGTGCTCTTCTCGGTCGTGTGTAAATTAGCTTGTTCGAGGGTACCCTTTTGCACTACAAGACTCTTCAACACCGGATTAGGATTTGGGCTTTTTTGGCTCTCTTGGGCAGTTAATAAGCTGAGGGACACAATTGTCTATGTCAACAAGAACCAAGGCAAGTTGGGTTTGAAGGAAGAGGAAATGATGAACAAAGTGGACAAGAGTGTGAAAGATATCTATTTCAGAGCCGCAACTTTGATGGCAATAGCGGTATTGAGGTTTGCTTGAAAACTAAGCGATCTATTTTCCGGCAAGGCGAATGCAAATGGTACAGGGCACAATTTGACTGGCTGTGTATGTGACAGTAACTGTATTGTTATGTATAGCTGGTTGATGATTAGACTGGGTAAAGCTCACTTGCTCGGCTTCTAAGGTGATGGAGAGGCTCAAGTGAGAAGTAATCACTGAAAATATTTGATGAAAAGGAATCCAAAAGATCTCAGGTATGACATGATGCAGAGTTCTCTAGGGACTGAACTCTGTCTGATCACCAGTCAGCATTAGTAATCAATGTTCTATAACCAATTAGAATTGTGTATTATATAGCAGTGCAGTGAGTTGGCTAGTTAATTATTGTATCTCATACAGTACAACAATTTTGGGCATGAAATTCCTAGATTTATTCTACGAATGCAAAGCTTTTATCAAGATAGTTTGTTTGATATATTGTTTTTTTTTTTTTTTTTTTTTTTACCAATGGGTATCTGGAACGAGCCCGACTAATCGCATGCGATTTACGTCATGCTCTCGGAAGTTTTTGTACACAGATCAGGGTAAGTAGCTAGTATTTGCACTAGTTTCCATTCACAACACGTTCATATATTGTGAATTCTGATAAACATAATTGTTTCGTATGTTTTAGACAACCTCCACTCGGCAAGTCCTGAAAACAAACGATTTATGTTTCTTATTGAATAACTCTTTCAGACCTTTATCATCAATGCTTTTGAGAACCAGATCTCATGCAACATAATAATGTAAAGTTTGTCCAGAAAGATTCCAACAAGGCTGCATTTTTAAACTGCCGGAGGTTCTAATATGAAGCAGAAATATTCAACTTGGATTGGAGATGCAATGTGCTCAACGTTGTAAAGTAAAACGTGTAACAAAGCTTCTGTTATCGACTTATTCGGCATTTGGAACTTAACAGATGCTATATATGTTGTGAATTCACAATCTTGAGCAAAATGTTCTTTACAATGCCCTTACAACCATTTTACACATGTTGCGGCTGTTCTTTCAAAATTTCAGTTTCATGTTTACCATCGATCAGATTCCGCATTTAAAAAGACCCTGAAAAAAGAGGGAGAAGTGCACAATTTCACAACAAGAGGGCTAACTGGAATTTTTGCATTATATTGGGCTGAGGTTTTGAATACAATTATGTTAGCAGGATGTGGTAATAATTATTATTAAAAAAAAAAAAAAAAAAAAAAAAAAAAAAAAAAACCCCACTAAGGTCACTGCAGCCACAGGAAATGGTGGCGTTCTGGTTCATTTAAAAAAAAAAAAAAAAAAAAAAAAAAAAAAAAAAAAAAAACCCCCACTAAGGTCACTGCAGCCACAGGAAATGGTGGCGTTCTGGTTCCAACAGAGATCCAGCAGAAAAGTCATGAAATCCAACTAATGATTCAAAACTGTAAAATACAGCTGCTACGTTATGGCAGGCCAAACACCTGGCTTTAATTGAGTCAGCCCGGGAGTTGGGGTTGCAAACTCCTCCTGAGAAAAGCAGACATCTTTTCGTTGGCAGCACGCCCTCGTTCTAGACAGTGGAAGTAGTCGTCCACTAAAACAAAAAAAAAAAAACAATACTGCTAATCAGAAAATTACTTCATTGTTAAACTCACACTTTTTTAGGACCAATGAGACGACTTTTAGCTCAGGAGACATATATTTCCCCAGCTTGTTCCTATATTACATAGTGAATATTGGCAAGTTGTTGAAGTATGATATGCATATTTACTTGTTTACTAGGACAAAGTTGAGCTCAAGAAAAGACAAAAAAGCTAAGGCTAATATCAGTTTTTACTGGTAGAAAGGACGAAACAGTGAAGATCAAGAAAGTTAAGGGATGAAACAAGAATGACGATTATTAAGAGTTACCTGCCATTGCACCCTGTGTAACAGACGTGATGATCCCATTTTCCATGGGTTCACCTTCTACCTTTGGTGATCCTTCAGGAAGGGCTGAGAGAACTGAGTTTGGGAAGACGAGATATGCAAAAGCCTTCATTTTCTGCCATTATGAAACAGAAACAAGGTAAGACCAAAACTCTGTATACAAACACAATGAGCCGCTACATATGTCCTAAACTGCAAGGAGATATCCAGTAGAGTGAAAGACATGCTATGACCATGGACAAAGTAAATTTAACTATGAAATTCATTAACCTGTTCTTCTAGCTTGGCGGGGTCCAGTATAACATATCCGCTTTCTGCCAGACCGCAACATATTGCAACTGTGCAATCCAGTTATAAAGTCAGCAAACATTCAATAAAGAGAGGGCAAAACTGGAGACAAACATAAGTGTTACTACCAGCAAGATGTTTCAGAGGAATTCCAGCATCTACAAGTGCAGCGCATGCAGCGTTTATGGAACAAGGGAGAAGCTACACGAGGATCAAGTCAAGGTACAAATGACAATTTGAGAGGATAGAGCAAAATTCTGGTAAAAGTTAAGATGTCGAACCACATTAAAAAGCCTCTTTATTACATGCAAAGACAACATGGCTCATTGAATATACATGTCAAACTTGTATCACTTAAAAGAGCTACAAAAGTAGATGTCAACATTCCAAGAATGGTGAACCCCCAAATTATATAAAGTTGAACAAGATTCCTTGAATATATAAGTCAAACTTGTAACTGTTGCTCATGCCCTGATTAACTAAACAGTGAAATACTGATTTCTATGATTTTTTAGAATCTTTAATACGAATTTCAAAGTAAAGCATTTAGGAGAAACCTTTATTTCAACTGTCACTTTTTAACCTTCTGAAAAATACTGTGTTTCCTATAAAAGAGAAACCAAAAATTCCTTCATACAAAAAGAAACATAACGAAATATTAGTAATATAAGTTACAGTGCAAAATAGGTTGAAATACTGCTTTAAAATCCGGTTGGAAAAGCTACAATGTTAATAAAAAGCGTAACCTTTGAAGGATACTGCACCATCATCGTTGACAACCTGCAAAGAAACAGAAAACTTAGTGGTCATAAGTAAGAAGCCATTTACTAAATCAGCAATTTTTGAATACTACAGGCAGTGTATCCAAGGAAAAAAAAAATGCAGTTAGCGGCTTTGATTTACAATTTTTAAGAGAGGGCAAAACTGGAGACAAACATAAGTGTTACTACCAGCAAGATGTTTCAGAGGAATTCCAGCATCTACAAGTGCAGCGCATGCAGCGTTTATGGAACAAGGGAGAAGCTACACGAGGATCAAGTCAAGGTACAAATGACAATTTGAGAGGATAGAGCAAAATTCTGGTAAAAGTTAAGATGTCGAACCACATTAAAAAGCCTCTTTATTACATGCAAAGACAACATGGCTCATTGAATATACATGTCAAACTTGTATCACTTAAAAGAGCTACAAAAGTAGATGTCAACATTCCAAGAATGGTGAACCCCCAAATTATATAAAGTTGAACAAGATTCCTTGAATATATAAGTCAAACTTGTAACTGTTGCTCATGCCCTGATTAACTAAACAGTGAAATACTGATTTCTATGATTTTTTAGAATCTTTAATACGAATTTCAAAGTAAAGCATTTAGGAGAAACCTTTATTTCAACTGTCACTTTTTAACCTTCTGAAAAATACTGTGTTTCCTATAAAAGAGAAACCAAAAATTCCTTCATACAAAAAGAAACATAACGAAATATTAGTAATATAAGTTACAGTGCAAAATAGGTTGAAATACTGCTTTAAAATCCGGTTGGAAAAGCTACAATGTTAATAAAAAGCGTAACCTTTGAAGGATACTGCACCATCATCGTTGACAACCTGCAAAGAAACAGAAAACTTAGTGGTCATAAGTAAGAAGCCATTTACTAAATCAGCAATTTTTGAATACTACAGGCAGTGTATCCAAGGAAAAAAAAAATGCAGTTAGCGGCTTTGATTTACAATTTTTAAAACAAAGCCTAACATTTATGATGTTCCATGATGCTGAGAAATCAAAGTTAAAAACTAGGAAAAGATTATGATTTATATCAAACAAATAAATAACAACTAACTGAAGAAGAAGCAAAACTGCAGTAATAAGGGGAAAAAAAGAGAGAGCGAGAGTAGCGATGAATGGTACACCACACACGAACACCAGGGCAATTTATAAGAATCAAATATATTCACGGAATATATAAGGGGAAAAGGAACTCACTTGTATTATAACTGATGTTGTTGTATTTGGATTGACGGTCAAAATGCAGATACTTTGCAATGTTCTCTTCAATATCATCTCGTACTCCCTTTCCGATTTTCCTAACATATGAAGAAAGTTTAACAAATAGCAATAAGAATAATATAAATATGCATTATATTGCAAGAGAAAATCATACACAAAAATGCATGTGTCGTATCCCATAACAGTGATCAGCAATAGCCAAAATCTCAAAGAAACAGAGAAATAAAAAACGTTTCCATTTGTGGAACGACAAACCAAGCAAAAGCTAAACGCAATTCATTTAAGTTTGATTCATTTCACTATCCATTAAGAAATAATCACTTCCAAATACGTTCAATTATAAGATTTATTCACCAACAACAAGCGTTCCCATCACTAAGTTCTCCCGAAATATTATATAGTTTGTTAAATCCCATTTTCATGTATTTACCGAGAGATTTCCAAACAAGTTTGGATTCACAGCCTCTACCAGAAAAGGGGCGTGTTAAAGACCTAATTTTATATTCACATTAACAAAGAAAAGTAAATAAAACTATATGCATCTTTTCTACCGATCAAAATGTAGCACCACCCAAAAAAAAGAACCTTATACTATTAATAACATGGAAAATCTTATTGAAAGAAAAAAAAAATAGAGTTACCAGTCTGCCCAGTTTTAGGTTTCCAAATAACTTCAATACAAGCCTTCTCAGGGTTTTCGTGCTTCTTTGTTCCTGCTTTTGGTCCATAAACAGCAGCAAGAACTTTGGTATCTCCTATTGAACAAAAAAACTAAACATAAGTTTCTAACAAAAGTAGCCCATTTCAAAACAAGCAAAATCCATTCAGAACCATGATACAATATTGGATGTTCAAGAGAGAGAGAGAGAATTCGGACCCGTTCATTCACTAGTTTGAATGTTTTCTCTAGCAAAAATTCAAATTTTAACCTTTTCTGCTGCAAGTTCTTTTTAACTCAAGTTCTCGATAGTATTTTCTCTCACAAAAATTCAAATTTTAACTTATTCTCCTACAAGTTTTCTCTTTTTTAACTCAAGTTCTCAAACTCGAAGGAGAAAACGAACGACAAGTCAATAATTAGAGAGACGAAAGAAACCTTGGGACCAACTGGCAGAGCCATGGGCACGGTTAAGAACGTTACGAGAACAAGCGAGTGGTCTCAACTGGTTCGGCGTTCGCCCATCGATTCTATCGATCTCCATTGCTATCTTCCGCTGCTGAAAAAAACAAAACAAAAATTGTAGAATGTGGTTTTGGGGGTTTAGGATTTTAGGCTCTCTGATACTTTAGCTCCGAAAACCGTCAGTACATATATAATCAAACTAAAAAAAAACAAAATACAAAAACAAAAGACGGTAGGCTACAAGCCTTTGTCAACTTCAATTGGTGGCTGGCTTTCACGATTTTTTTTTTTTTTTTTTTATGACACAGATGAGAGATGGAGGGAAGGAGGGGGGAGTGAAAGAGAGGAGAGAGAAATTTTTTATTTTTGAAAATTAGGGTTTTAAAATAGAAATTTTGGGGGATTTTTTTTGGATTTTTTTATTAATTGTAATTAAAAATAAAGGTTAAATAAAAAAAATAAATTCAGATTTTTAAGATAATACTAATTAAAATAATTATGCTATTTACTATTTTAAAATTAACAAACTCTGCTATAATTACAATTTTCATTTTTCTGTCCCCATAGTATGAATTTGTGTTTTAGTAGTATTGTGATTATTTTTGCTAATCAAGAGTGTCCTTTTTTTTTTTTGCTAATCTAGTATGTAATTGTCTTTTAGTAGTATTTTGATTATTTTGATTGATATTTTTAATGTATGTATTATAAATTTTATATATCCAAATGGGTGGGTTCAGACGGGAACTTTTCCGTACTATTCATGTTCATTCCCAGTTGTTTACAGTCAATTTTTTACCCTTCCTCATCCCGTCGTATGAGAAATTTTGCCTTTTTTTTTTAAATTTAAGTTTACGTTTGGTGTGTATGAGTAATTCATGGGTACGTTTAAAATTCATTTTAAAATAATTTTAGTTTTTTTTTTAACCTTCTTTTAAAGGCTTTGGTCTAGTCCTCCTCTAATAATACTACTTTTTCAAGTTCTATTTCCAATCTTTGTGAGGTTTCTTGGGAAAGAATGGTAAACGAAGCAGTACATTAACTTTGAAAAATCCCGAATATCTCCAATACCAAACACATTGTAGTGTACCAAAAAAAAAAAAAAAAACTCCTAACGAAGATCATAATGCTCACTACCTTTAACTAAAGAACTGGATTTCAAACAAAAAGAGAAGAAAAGGTAATTCGAAGAGGATAAAGAGAGGAAAGCGAAGAAGACGATACCTCGCAATGGGAAATCTTACGGTGATTGAGCCACTGAAGGAGACAATCTTGGTGGACGTACTTTATGGTACCACGGCAAGCGCAGGGGTACCGGAGAGGGTTTCCCTCCTCGCCGGGATTTCGGCATATCCTACACTCGTTCTCCTCCACCACGCTTCCGCCGACATCGGCCGTATCCGCCGCCGCAGAATCTTCCATTTCCGGCAAGGCGATCGTCGATCGTAAGGTTTTGGCCTCTCGTAGCTATGGTTCTCTGGCTCTCTCTCTCTCTCTCTATGTTTCTCTCTCTCTGGAATCCTTTCTCCCTCGCGAGGGAAGAACATATGCATACGAAAGGTACTGTCAGCAATGGGATACTCATACGACAAAGTGAGTTTTTTTTTTCTTTTTTTTTTCTGGGGGAAAGCGCCAGGAAGATAAAGTGAGGGCTTTGTTTCTCTACTGCTACGTTTTATTATAGGAATAAAGAAGCCAATAGAAAACCGCCACCTCATTCGTTTACACGTGTCCTTTTCAGACGGTCAAATCGTTTTTTTTTTTTTTTTTACTACCGTATTTCCATCACTAGCTTTGATTTCCATTTCCATCAGTAGCTCGATGCTAAAAGGCAAGGCACTGATCTTGTGCCCTTTTCAACGGTCGTAACTATCGTCGCTCGGTCACAATTGTAGCCAAAAATAAAATAAACAAAAAAATAAGTTTTTTCCTGATAACTTTTTTAATGGAAAATTATCCCGATAAATTTGAAATAAATTAATGTTTCGTTCATTTTATCAATTTTAATTTTTAATTTTAAGTTTTTACAGTAAAAAATTTTAAAAAAATGTCACATTTAACTTTTTTTGTTACAGTATAAAGTTCTCAAAAAATGTCACATCTCAGCTCAAATTAAAAATTTAAATCCGTGAAGTGAATGATGCCAAAATGAGAATTTGTTCTTTGTTCAACCGAAAGATACATCACAAACAAAGTTACTAGCTAATAAATATGAAAGGAATCAAATGAGAAATTTTGTTCTTTTATTTCTTTTTTAACTGAGAGATATATTACAAATGTAGATGATTTTTTTTTTAATTACTGATGTCAACTTTAATTAAAAATATTTTTTATTAAATACGATAAGATACCTAATTAACTTTATCCCCATTGCATTGTTTTTCTTTTATTTTAAACTTTTACCGATTTGATTAAATTTACATGTCTTTATTAAATATAATTGGTTAGATAAGATAATCCAACAAGTTTTTATACTTTCAGCTTTGCCAAATGGGACTCGTAGTGTATATATTTCCCTAAAAAAAATAAAAAATAAAAATAAAAATAAAAGGAGGCCATCTTAAGACAAGCTCAAAACTAAAGAACGCGTTTAAAACTCGTTTTAAAATGATTTTATTTTTTGTATGCCTTTTTTTTTTAAATTTAAGTTTACGTTTGGTGTGTATGAGTAATTCATGGGTACGTTTAAAATTCATTTTAAAATAATTTTATTTTTATATGAAAATAAAAATAAAAATATTTTTAATTTCAGACATAAATCATTTTTAAAAATACGTTTAGTAATTTTATTAAGATATTATTTTTAGTATAAAAAAATTTATTAATGTCTCTCTCTGCTCGAGAGAGGAAAAAACAAAAACAAAAAATAAAAAATGATTAAAAATTATTTTTTATTTCTCTCTCATTTTACACTAAATTAAAAAATTATTTTTATTTTTATTTTTTATTTTTAATTGTGCTAAGCGCCGTTTCTCTCCCGTTTTATTTTTTATTTTTTGACAACTCCAAACACAGTACATGTTTCGTTAGATTGTGTATCACACATGTAAAGCAACGTCATTAGTCGTTAGGTAATAGGTAGTTTTGTAAAATACAATATTAATTTAGTGCTTGAAATTCCAAGCTTTGTTTCATTTCTGCGAAGTTTGCATTATTTCTTTTGCAAATCGTGGTTGCAAGACAGTAATAGTTCAGAGAGGTTGGTAGATTTTCTATACTAGCAAGAGAGAAAAAAAAAACAAAAAACAAAACAAACCAATTTTACTACTCTTAGAAGATCTCATTTCACTTGTAAAATAGATAACCAAATTTCAAAAAAAGAAAAATCCTCTTTCTGTTGGGACGTTTGTGAAGACAACATTGCTTTGTTAGGACAACTATTTGCAAATGCCCTCTTTCTACATAAAATAAGACAAACAAGGGGAACCAAAAATTTGAATGTATAATGCAGATACTGGTTAACAACAACATTATTTAAGAGCAAAAGAACCGAAAAGAAAATAAATGAAAACTAGTCAAGACCATGTGAAATAATCACGCCCAACCATTCCTCCTTAAATGTGTTTTTTGATAATACCTAGAACTAACAACCCGCATTGAATCTAAGCCAAAAAAAAAAAAAAAAAAAAAAAAAATTCACCAATTCTTTTTGCTAATGAGCTGGCTCAACCCAGTACTTTTGATACTACTCCCGCACCAACTGTTCTACCTCCCTCTCGCAAAGCAAATCTTTGTCCTGTCAGTCGAACAAGTGACATCATTAAACTTTTAGGCCTAAAAAAATAAATTATACATCTCTGACTATAAGTATATAACAATGTTACGAACTCTGAAAGCCACAAACATGTATTGCAAACAGCGACCTATATTTAACGCTTTTTAAAGCAAGTAACTACGGGTCCGTTTGGAAGGTAGACTCAAATCATAATTCTTAATTCTGACGTTTGAAATTTAAATTTTTTGTGAGGAAAATATTGTAGCAGAACCAATGATTTGAGTATATGAAACAAACGGACCCCAAATACTCCTAACCTCGAGTTGTGCACACCGCATGCATAAATCAGTTCTATGAATTTGTCAATACGATAGATGCATGAAAAGAAACCGATTTTACTTGTATGAAAACTCAAATCACAGAAGGTTTTCAATACAAATACACCTACGCAAAGCGAAATCAATTTCACGAGATACAACATGCATGGTATGTGCTACAGCGGCCAGGATAAACCATCTTTTTTAAGGAAAGAGTATGATTACGTACCTGCTTCAAGAGGAACAGATTGAATCAACTCAATAATAGCAGTCACATTGTCCCCAGGCATAACCATTTTAACGTTTTCAGGCAATTCCACTTTTCCAGTGATATCTGCCGTCCTCATATAAAACTGAGGCATATAGTTTGAGAAAAATGCAGTGTGACGACCACCTTCTTCCTTTGTAAGCACATATATCTCCGCCTCAAACTTCTTGGATGCTTTCAAAGTTGCTGGCTTGGCAATTACCTGTACGGTAAACAATCATAAGTTTTACTGTTCAAAATTTAATTTGTTCCTCATACTTAGAATGTTATTAAGGATTTTTTTTTCCCTGTAAAGGATGCATCTTGGAATACTAGTAAAAAAACATCTGTGAATAAACTTCACTTTCAATCTACATTTCATGGGGAAAAAAAAAACAGTATGAAGCCCATAGCGTTAAAGCCAAATAAGCACTAGAAGACCAAAAAATGCCTTTAAAGAGAACCCAATGTGAAAGATCACAAAATTTTCAAAGACTGAATTTGATAAACTAGGTAGTTTCAAGAAGTTTTATAAGATACCACGACAAGCCAGTACTAAGAAATTCATGAGGTGTAAATGGTGCCACATACTTGTCCTCGGAACACATCTTCACGTTTTAAGCCTCGAAGAAGAAGACCCACATTGTCACCGGCCTATTTAAATGCGCAAACCCATCATCAATCGAACCAGATGGAACAGAAAAACCTTGGTAATTATAATGAGATTTGATTCAGCCCCTTACTTGTCCTTGGTCCAAGATTTTCTTAAACATCTCAACACCGGTGACCGTAGTTTTGAGAGGAGCCTGCATGAGAAAATTAAGTGCGTGTTTGGAACTGTTTTTGAAAACGGTTTTCACGTATTTCGAGAAGCAAAAAATGAAAATGAAAACGAAACGACGTTTGTTTAGCAAATGTTTTGAAAACAAAAACAGTGAGAATGGTTTTTGTAAAGGAATTATAAGACAGTTGAAAGTTGTTTTCACTTTTCTGTTTTCATTTTTTAGTACTTTTCAACAATATTATAATATATTAATTAATAAACACGATTTTACTTTTTGTTATACTCAAAACAATCTCTTAAAAAACCAACCAAACGCAATTTCAGAATCGGTCTCAAAATGATTCTCAAAACAATCTCATTTTTACTTTTTATTGAAAACAAAATCATTTTGAAACCAATTCCAAACGCACCCTAAATGTCAGCACCAGCCATTCCAAGTCCTCAAAGGGTATATTGCTTAGAGGCATTAACAATGTAACAGTAATACTTGATATATGCCACCGAAAAGCATTACCATGTTTAACAATCATACACAAATACACGTGTAAATATATACACACATATATATAAACAACAGAAATAAACAAATGCAAAAGAATGCAAAAGAATGCTTTGCAGCACCAGAAATAGAAAAAGTAAAAGTACATATTTACCTGCCTCAACCCCAGAATCTCAACTTCCTCACCAACTTTAACAACCCCTTGTTCAACACGACCAGTTGCTACAGTACCACGACCCTTTAACACAAAAACAAAAACCAATAGCAAAGCCAAATCAAGAAAATACCATACACACAAACTATAAAGACTTCCAAGAAACATAGGGAGCAGAACTATCCCATCGTTAAGTTGAGAATGTGAGCAACCTTAAGATGAAGAACTACAACCAATTCTAGAGGAAAGATCACCGTAATATATTTTTTGCCAAAAAAGTTGTAAGTAGCAGAAGCAGCGACAATCACAATAGCATTGCAATGCAAGCGGCCTAGATGTTTGGGAGAAAAAATTCTTCCAATTCAAAGGAACCACACTAACAAGTTATGCCCATCAATCTCTGAATGAAGCACGACAGAACTAATCCTTCTTAAGTGTGGCCCCCTGTCATGCTTTGCCCAACCACAGCTAAAACATGAGATTTTACCTGAATTGAAAAAACATCTTCAATTGGCATTAGAAAAGGCTTGTCAAGCTGGCGTACAGGGTCAGGAATGTATTTATCAACAGCGTCCATCAATTTTAAAATAGCTTTTTTGCCGATCTCTTCATTAGTGCCCTGTAAAGCTGCCAATGCCGAACCACGGATGATAGGAATCTCATCCCCAGGGAACTTGTAGAAGTTCAGAAGATCTGCCATATAAGAAAATGTGAAAATTCAAGTGGAGATAATATCGGTGCCTTAAGACAATTTCAAAAGTTACCCACCACGAACTTCCATTTCAACAAGATCCAACAATTCTTCATCATCAACAGCATCAACTTTATTCAAGAAGCACACAAGTGATGGCACACCAACCTGCCAAATACGTGCACAAAAATCTTTTAGGCATTGCTATATGCACAAAAAGTTCAGCATGTTAGCCAATGCAATAATGAAAAGTGCACCTGTCGTGCCAGCAAAATGTGTTCCTTAGTCTGGGGCATGGGCCCATCAGGACCAGATACAACCAGGATACCCCCATCCATTTGGGCAGCCCCAGTAATCATGTTCTGCATAACAATAGATACCAATGAGTAAATATAATATTGCAGATGAAGAAATAATTACCTATTAAGACATTTTATTCTTAAAATTTAATTTTGAAATTAGAATTATGTTTATCACTTAAGATTATTCAAAGTTTAGTTAAGTTTATATTTTATTAGTTTAGAACTTTGTAAAAACCTTAGTGGTTGTAATTTTAAGAGAGTTGATGATTGATTAATGAATATTGAGTTTCTAGTTTTCTTCTCTTGAGTTCTTGTCCTTCTCTTGGATCCTTTGATTCTATTTCTATCTCTTTAGTTGTTTTATTTCTCCTCTTGATTCTATCTTTTCTATTTCAATTCAATATCTTCTATCTTGGTCCTACAATAAGTTGGTATCGGAGCTTAATCAGCTCTTGAGTGGCCCTATTCATCCTGTCAAAGTTGCAGATGAGCCCTTACTTCATTTGCTGCAACATAGTGTAGACTACTTCTAGAAACATATTTTTTTCCTGGTTGAAATACATGTAACCAATCTCCCTTTGGAAAATTGTTATAGTATCATTGGGAGATAATAAATGGACGTGTTTAGATCCACTTTACACACCATGTATTTTCACCAATGTGTTCAACCCGAACACAACTATCATGTGAGAGTCATAGATTACACTTCTTATTTCCACACCTTTATCCCATTCAGAGATATAACTTGGAAGCTTGCTATTAATAAGGGGAGTTTGATTAATGTTGTGTCAACACAATTTGTGAATCGAATGAGATTCAAAACGGTGCTTCATCTTGAAGTCCAAAACCCTTTTGGGTAAATTGGATGGATAAAGGATTACTTGAAGTCATTAAAAGACGCCTACTTCTTCAATTTACTTCTCTCATAAAATATATATATTTCCTGTGATATCCTATCCGTGGATGTTACTCATATTTGGCTACCTTAGGCTGATGATCATGTAGTAAGATATAGTGAATGGAAAAAATATGTTTTTAGACATTATGGGAAAATCTTGATCTTGAATTTCGCGATGCCAAAACAAAAATCACCTATATCTAAGCCTAGTCTTTCTTTACAAGTTTCTAATGAGCAAAGTACGCCTCTTGAAAAGGATAAAAGTAAGACCAAGTTTGTGATAAATGACAAAGGTTGTTGATGCCCATTCTTGTCCAGAGCCTTTTATCGATTAACCCTCTCTTCTCAAATCCATTGAATCCAATTTCACAATATTTTCTATTAAAAATTTTGCATCAATACAAATTTACTTTCATTTATAACTAATAAAACAATCTGTGAGTAATTTTGATCCTTGTAGCGTGATTCGTCAAGAAATACAAATATGAAGTGTCGATTCAAGTTGTGAAGAGTATTCACTTCATGCCGTGAAGGTATGCCTATCTCTAATCTGCTCCTAATCTTGTAAACTCAGTTTCTTCTTAGGGCCAATCCATGGCAAATAAAATTACAAAAACTAGAGCTATTTGTTATACAGGTATTGGTTATCTTAATAGCTTACTTTGACATAATCTGCGTGTCCAGGGCAATCAACATGTGCATAGTGTCGCTTAGAAGTCTCATACTCCACATGGGCCTGCAAAATCAATGAAAACGTAAGTTGAAATAGAACTATAATTTTGGAAGTGGCAGAAGGATCAACAACAAAGCTGCATTAATCTACATCCCAACAAAGTGGAACACTCATATTGATTATCAAAATTGAATTAGAACACAATCCTAACCGTTGAGATCGTAATTCCTCTCTTTTTCTCCTCAGGAGCCTTGTCAATCTCATCAAAGGCAACGGCCTTAGCTTTACCTTCTTCCGCTAGTACCTAATGCAATTCACATAAATATTTCAGGCTTTTCTCCAAAAGAACAAAAAGAAAGGAAAAAAAGGGATCATTTTTCATAAACAACAAACGGAATCATTAATCAATAACAACCTAAATAATGGATCAACCTAAAATGATTATCTTATTCACAAAGTATTGCATAGATCTACATGGAGAAAGACCAAACCTTTGTAATCGCGGCAGTTAACGTAGTCTTTCCATGATCAACGTGTCCGATTGTTCCAATATTCACGTGAGGTTTTCTGCTCGAAACAACATCACGCAGAAACCAGTTTCCGATTAAGCTACAGAAACCAAACAAAAATGGCTCAAACTATAATGAGAGGCAAGAACTTACGTTCTGGTGAAGGTGGCCATGGATCGCCACCATGGAATCGGAGAGTAAGATCTTTCATTTCCAGAGATCGACTCGGAAATGGAGAGACCGGCGGGCACCGACGGGAAAAGGGAGAGCCGGGCGCCCGCCGATCCTCGGCAGCAGGAGTAAATTTGGGACGAAAATGGAAGAACGCGCTTGGAGTTAGGGTTTCTGAGAGCGACGGAAGCCATTGAAGCACGAAGAAATAGCTTTACAGAATGAAAATGGAAAATTGAAATGCCCTAGAAGTAGAAGAAGCTCGAGAGAGTGAAAAGCTTCGCGCTCAGAGTGGCGGAGACACTTCGATGAGGGTTTTAGGGATTACGGGGGTTTACGAGGGTTTTGCTTAGTGTGCCTTTGGTTCAGAAAACCCGACCCGTTGTAGTCCACCGAATCCTGGCCCATAAACCGGACCAGAAGGAGACGGCATGTCATGTTAGTAATATATTTATAAAAAAAAGGCTCTCGTTTTTTTAAGCCCTCTTTATGTTACCGATTTGAATTTATAATTCGAGTTTTATTACAATAAAAAGCTCTTAAAATTAGTTACATCTAATTTTTATGTTACAGTAAAAAATTTTCACGTAAAATTACATTTCAACTAAAATCAACAAACTAAACAGACCTTTAATATTTACCGTCCACTTTTTTTTGGGTCAACTATGAAGTAATATCCAATAGGGTTATGTTTTATTTTTTTCCCGTATAAGCAATGATATTTGAAAGAGCAGCCGTCAAGATAATCCATTTCATGATATTCATATAAGTAATTATCAACCCTCAAGATAATCCATTTTATAATTACTCGCGGTGGTTGTAACATTTATTTGTAGTAATTGTTGATGTGAATATGATATAAAAAAATAATAATAAAATTAATGAAAAACAAGTGTCGTATTCAAACACGCACATATTACTTATCAGGCTGTTTCCTTTCCTTTTTTGTTTCCTTTCTTCGTTTGAACAAAATATCCACAAGTTGCACAAAGCAAGATATGTTGCCGTAACTTGCAAACATATTTTCTTTTTCCTTACAGCAAAAAACCATATTTTCTGTTTCATTTGCCTTTTTCTTTTTAGCCCTTGGATTTGCATGTTTTGCCATTTTAATCCTTTTCATCACCTAAACTTACAAGACACCCTTTTTCTACCAAACTATCATCTTCACCCCCTCTATAAGGAAACTCTTAAGTTCCAACGGTTCTGGGCATCCCAATTCCATGGCAATGAAAATGTTGATGACCCTTCAAACAATAGCTTTAATCTTATCGCACTTGCCTCTTATTAGCCCCATCAATCTTAGCTATCCAGCAGTCTTTAACTTTGGTGATTCCAATTCAGACACTGGAGGCATAACTGCAGGTATTGCTTTTCCTGTTGGTCAACCCAATGGCGAAACCTACTTCCTCAGGCCCTCCGGCCGGTTCTGCGATGGTCGTTTGATCATCGATCTGCTCAGTAAGTACCTTTCATTTAAAATTATAATACATAAAGAGGTTGGCGTGCCAAGATAATCCGAATTATATGTTTTTAACTTGTTTAAACGGACTATTGTACTAGGACTACCTAAATTAAGACCACTTTTTGAAATTCGATTACTCTACTACTACACTTAAGTAGTCACTTTTTTCACGCGTGCTATTTGTTCCAAAAATGTGTTCAAATCCTACCAACTTTTGTTATTTACATACTGTATGTATTGTAGTGGATTCAATGGGACTGCCATTTCTGAATCCATATTTGGATTCTGTTGGTGCACCAAGTTTCCAAAAGGGGTGTAATTTTGCTACTGGGGGGTCCACCATACTCCCGGCCAATGAAGCTTCATTGAGCCCGTTTTCCTTCGGGATTCAAGTGTCTGAATTTGTCAGATTCAGAGCTCGAGTTCTTCAACTACTCGCAAAAGGTACTTCATCTGATCTAATACTATTTCAGATTCTATGTTCTGAGATGTTAAGGTTTAGGATGAAAATTGCATCTAGTAATCTTTACACGGCTTTGGCTTTTTAGTTTAGTACTTATGACAAGTGTTATTGTTTTTGGTCTTAGACAAGAGGCTCAGTAAATCACTTCCTTCAGAAAGTTACTTCAAGCAGGGTCTATACACATTCGATATGGGACAAAACGATCTTGATGGTGCATTTTATTCAAAATCAGAAGACCAAGTTGTTGCTTTAATCCCAAGTATCATCTCAGAATTTGAGACTGGATTAAAGGTTATTAATTTGTCTTCACACAATATTAGAATCAATATTAGCAGCAAAATTCTTCTCTTTCTCTCTCTCTCTCTCTCTTTTTTTTTTCCTTTTTTCAACTTAATTTTAAATTGTTATAGAGATTATATGACGAGGGAGCTAGAAATTTTTGGATACACAACATGGGTCCCCTCGGATGCCTACCGAGAATTATTGCAAAATTTGGAAAAGACCCATCAAAGCTGAACCAGTTTGGATGCGTTACTTCCCACAACAATCTTGCCACTGCTTTCAATACACAACTACGTGATCTTTCTGTGAAGTTCAGGGGACAATTTTCTGAAGCAAATGTTACTTTGGTTGACATTTTCTCAATCAAATCTAACCTCATTGCAAACTACTCCCAATATGGTAAGCTCATATTGGCTCTCATTAGTTATTTTATATGTCATGTAGTCCAAAATTTATAAATAAATAAAAAAAAAAAGGAGAGAAAGAGCGCTTATTCTGTAGCATATCAAAAATTGTTATTTTCTATTAAATAGTTTGTTTTCTTTTTTCAATTTTTATCCTTTTTTTTATAATTGTAATGTGGTTTTTGTTGGAGTTTAGGATTCAAGCAACCAATTGCAGCTTGCTGTGGGTATGGTGGGTTGCCCTTGAATTTTGACAATAGAATTGCCTGTGGAGAAACCAAAACTCTGAATGGGACCTCGGTGACAGCAACACCATGTAATGACACATCAGAATATGTGAATTGGGATGGAAATCATTATACAGAAGCTGCAAATAAATATGTTTCATCACAGATATTGTCAGGAAATTACACCGATCCACCTCTCTCTATGAATTTTCAGTTTCTTATGGGGTCCGAGTTTTATGACCCAAACATAATGTAATTAACTCTTCAAAATCCTACATTGAATCATGAATTTGGTTCATTGGTTAGATTTAAAAACTACCATATATGTTCTTTGCTTTGCTTTCTTTTTTTCTTTTAATAAATATGGTACCCGTGGTGGGAGCGCTTGCGTTTACACCCAGGGTCCAGGGTTCGAATCTCGGAAACGACTTCTCTTTTGGAGAGTAAGGCCGCGTACATATGAGATTGATCTTTCCTCTGAACCTGTTATAGTACGGGAGCTTCTTTGATACTGGGGTCGCCTTTTAATAAATGTGGTACCCGTGGATTTATAAATACACTTGTAAGTGCGTAGAGTGATGCAGTATATATAAGTTTACATGTATGTATATGTACATAGTGTATTTAGTATACAGGACATGTGGATAAATGTATAAGAGTAACTGCATGTCGTTTGACTGACTTAACGACGATGCAAACAATAACATAAAACGAATCGTCGTCTTTTTATGAGATAGAAAAATGTATTGCCAACGACATGTAGTTGTTGACATTTACAGAGTGAATTTTTTTTTTTTTCAATTGAAAAACCATTTTCTATTGGAAATTAACGTTTGTTCACTCCGATTTGTTGTTAAAACAGATAAAAAAAAAAAAAAAAAAGAAAGAAACGACTCGTTCTTTTTTTTTCCCATTTAAGCAAAATAAAAACTTCTAAAACATGGTTACTTTAATAATGACATGTCGTTTCTATGGTGCAATAGACATTTTTACCTTGAAACGACACGTTGCCTTATTAACCTTAACGACGAGAACGACATATCATTTACGTATATGGTGCAAACTGCAAAAGACATCAACTAGGTGCCCGACTGCCTTAACGACATGTTGTCGTTTTCCTAAACGACATCAATCTTTAACCTCAAAAGTCATGTCGTTTTCTACTTTTACTAATTTTCTTTCTTACGGAATTTTTTTTTCTGATTCCGATGAAACACTATGCACAATAATAAATAAGTAAATAATTTATTCTAAAAATAAATAAATAAATAAATAATAGTACCTAAGAGTGCATGAGTCTGAATTTACTTTTAAGAATATATAAATTTAGATTTTTATTTATTATTCTTGATAAATATTTTTTTATTAGTGTAATTATTTAATTAAAAAATTATAAATTAAGAAAAAAAATAAAAATCATTTTTTAAAATATTTTTATCAAAATTATTCTTTATTTTTTGTTTTTTTTTCTAGGCCAAGAATTTCCAGAGGATTGGATTTTGTGAAAGGAATTACCTTGGCAACACGCAGGCCGCGAATCTTAGCGACACTCGCACTATAGCTGCGTGCAACTGTCACGCTCCCCCATCCTCCACTTTTCGTATCCTGTTCTGTTCTTTTCTCTCTCCATTTTCTTTCCCGGGAACCAGACAGAAAATTCCACAAACACTGTTACAACAATATTAGCTGTCCCAACTCTCACCCATTTTTCCTTTTCGCGACTTTTCTTGTCCTCCTTTCTCACCGTCCCCATAGATTTTAATCCCCCCAAACTCCCAGTCTTCTTTACCAATTATTTGCAAGGACTTTTTCTTTGTTTGTTTTTCTTGAAAAAAAAAAAAAGAAAAAAATCAATACGTAACCGTTGGAATTATTATCTATCACATTATTCCCATTTTTCAGCTGAGCTTTCTCTAAATTCCATTGATGTACTTGCTTTGTACTTTAATTTCTCTATGATGTGAATTGTGGAGCATTAATTGAAGGATCGAAAATTAGGGTTTAGAAATTAAGTCGGTTGGGCTGAAGATGCTTCCTTGGGGTGGACTAAGTTGCTGTTTGAGTGCAGCTGCTCTTTACCTTCTCGGCAGGAGCAGTGGGAGGTCACTTACAAACTTAGCTATTTTTGCTCCAATTATTTATGAACTGAATTACGAATTTAATTAAGATTTTGATGGCTTTAAACATTTGTTGATGATTCAGGGATGCGGAGCTTCTAAAATCGGTCACTCGGGTCAATCAGTTGAAAGAATTGGGTATGATATTTTTGAGTTCCTGATTCCCTTTTTTTGGCGGTTGATGAAATTTGGTTTTTGGGCTCAATAAATTGTTATCCTTTTCCTAGCACTTTTGAAAGATATCCCCGATTGTTCCTGATACTTGAATTAAATCCTCAGTGAGATAATATACGAATGCGATTGTACGAGTAATATGTTGCTTTTCATCTAGTTACAATTGTTTAGGCTGATGATTCTTTTCCATTGGTTAATGAGCTTTTCCCTGAAGTGCACATGATTATGTTGTATACTATTCATACATGATAAAACTAATGGTACGGAGTTTGTGTCTTAAATTCGGTTGATTAATGCCTGATTGCTTTAAAGCCTGACACCCAATGCAACGAGAAAATTGGGCAGTGGACCGAAAAACATTCCATTTGGTTTTCAATTTCATTTCTGATTGATAGATATCGTAGGCTTGTTGTAACACACGGTGAAGAAAACATCACCCTTTAAATGTGTTTGATGTGGACAATGCTGGGAACGTATCTATTTTCTCTTTGTGCAAACTATTGTGTAATTGTGAAAAGCATCACAATTTGAGTGCATGCTGTAGGGTACTTTATTTGCTAGCAGTGGCACTAGTCTGCTTAGACATGTTTCCTAATTTTGTTTTTTGTTATTTTCGTCTTCCAGCACAATTACTGGACGCTGAGTGTATATTACCCCTAGTTGTTGCAATTTCCGGCCGAGTTGGCTCTGAAACCCCTATCAATTGTGAATTCAGTGGTTTACGAGGAGTTATTGTGGAGGAAACGGTGACTTTGAAGAGAAAACTCTGACAGACTATAGACACATATTTGCTTTTCCTTTTTATGGGGTTCTTTGTTGTTACGCTGACAGTCTTGTTCATATCAATTTTATTTAGGCAGAACAACATTTTTTGAAACACAATGATTCCGGGTCATGGATTCAGGATTCTGCGTTGATGCTATCCATGAGCAAAGAGGTTCCATGGTATCTGGTGAGAATCCCTCTCTTTGGCTATTGGGGCTCTCTCTCTCTCTCACACACACACGCGCGCAGACATACTTGCCCGCCTGCATCACCTGGATTGTTTGCTTTATTGAAACGTTTGTTTTGATGATTGTTGTTTGATGGAATGAGTGCTAATTTTGGTGTCGCATCAAATTTCTATGGTTCAGGATGATGGGAGTGGCCGTGCTTATGTGGTGGGAGCCCGAGGTGCCACAGGTTTTGTGTTACCAGTAGCAAGTGAGGTGTTTGAAGAGTCCGGGAGATCCCTTGTACGTGGGACGTTAGATTATCTACAAGGCCTCAAGGTGTGTCTCATTTACCATTTTTTTTTTCTTGCCATTGTTTGATGGCAAGCCCTTGGGTTGTCTAAAGTTTTAGATCTTAATGTTTTTGTAGATGCTTGGAGTTAAGCGTATTGAGCGAGTTCTTCCAACTGGTACTTCTTTGACGATTGTTGGCGAGGTATGTTGTAGTGTGATACGAAACTCCTCTTCTTCTTCTTCTTCTGACATTGGAAAAAGAAAGGGTAGTTGGTTGCCAGTAAGGATTTATAGACAATAAGGGTCAAAGCATTTATTTTCTTCGTATGATTGGAACAATGCTTACTCTTCAATTATAACTAAACGTCATTTGTTAGGGCTTTGGTGATTACTGCCTATCAGATTCAGATGTATACGTCTTACCACATCCCATGCTTATTTATCTGAGATTCTTTTTCCTTGTTTTAAATCTGTTTTCAGGCCGCCAAAGACGACGTTGGCACTGTTAGAATTCAACGACCTCATAAAGGACCATTTTACATCTCTCCCAAAAGTATCGATCAGCTCATTACAAACCTAGGGAAATGGGCAAGGTTGTCTTTTTTGCATGCTTGCCGGCATGCATACATACTTCGAGTTATGTATGTTTTTGTTTTTTGTAGCTTTTCCACTGGAGTTTAATTGACAGAAACGAATTTACCAGGTGGTATAAGTATGCATCTGTGGGTTTGACAGCCTTTGGTGTATATCTGATTGCTAAGCATGCCGTCCAATACATTATGGAAAGAAGGCGTCGTTGGGAATTACAGAAGAGGTGAGTTCAAGTCATGTTAATTTGAAGACCAAATACAGGTTAAAAGGCTAATTGAATGGACAAAACATTAACTTTGATATTCCTCATGACAAGCCACCATGTAAAGAGCAAGATTTTAACTTAAGCTCCATATCTAACTTTAATGAACTATGTCTCTGCTGCTATTTCCCCATCATAAGATGACGTACTAAAATCTGTCTATGCAGGGTTCTTGCTGCAGCTGCTAAGCGATCCGGGAACGATGAAGAAGGTAAGTTGATTAGTGTTTACAGCATAAGATTTTATGCTATATATTATCGGACATGATATTAAAATGTTGCAACTCTTTTTTCAGGTTCAAATGATATTACTGAAAGCGGATTGGATAGTTCTAAGAAAGACCGTCTAATGCCAGATTTGTGTGTGATATGCCTTGAACAGGAGTACAATGCTGTTTTTGTGCCGTAAGAACTGTTTATCTTTCTTATTTCTAACCCAAAAATATGTATCAAAACGCCCATCTATTTGCCAAGGACAATACTAGTCCTTTTTCTCGGTTTTTCTTCTCTGTTATTAAAGCTGAACAATGGTGAACTTCTAATATGTTTCAGGTGCGGTCATATGTGCTGCTGCACAACTTGTTCCTCGCAATTGACAAATTGCCCTCTTTGCCGGCGTCGAATCGAACAGATTGTGAAAACTTTCCGCCATTGAGGCCCTCTGCGTCACAGATTTGTAGCTTCTAGAGAAGACCCCAGATTTTTCAATTTCGCAATTTTCTTTTTCCTTTTTTTTTTCTTTTAACATGGTGGCGAACAGCCATTTGCCTAAAAGCAGAATATTGGCCAACAATTATTCTCAGAATATTACAGCCATTGTACTTGTGGCTTCCGCATTGCAAAAGAGAAATTTCTTCAGGGATTTGAAAATTGTAAATGATTAACAGTTTGGGATCCTTATGTCATTGTAAATAGTTGTGGTTCTCTCTCTCTCACATACAAAATATAGCTGGGTCACGTGGTATTCTGTTCTCTAGAACAGTATGAATCTAGTTTAGCTTTTAGAAGGATCAATGGTGGCATCACTACCTTTTGAAGTAAAGAGATTTGGTATGTCAAGAGAGTTGTGCAATTACATGAAGCTAGTTGGATCACTTTGAGTTGAGGAATTCCAATTAGCACGATTTTGTTATATTTTCCTTCCGGCCAAAATTTGAAAGGTGGAGAAATAAAATAGCTATTTCTTTTTTGCTGGAAAAATAAAATAGCTATTTGTTTATACTGCTTTTTTCCCCTTTTTTCGAGTGCCATCCTCAGTTCACTGTTACAATAATAATGACCCAATTAAGGAACGTCAAGGCAAACGAAAACCATGCAAAACTGACTCTTTTTTCCCCCCTTTTTCTTTGATAGAATAATAATTGCATTTTTTTATACCTTTCTCCCATTAGGATGAATGTAAGACCCAATTATACCCCAGAAACAGGTAAGGAAAATAGACAAAGCATATACTAAACTTCAAAGGTTTCACATTATAGTCATCCAATAATTGTTCTAGTTCCAAGCATAGGTGCTCTCTCTTTATACTTTGTTTTGGATTAATTACCTTGCTTTGGAAGAAACTACTTTGAGAAGACTTTACTTGGTAAATGAAGGAAGCTACCAAGAAAATATATAGCCAATTACTTTGAGCTTTTCTTTAACTAATTGACAAAGTTTTTAGCTTGTTATGTGGTAAGGGGGGGAAAAAAAAAGATTCCTACAAGCGATTAATTTTCTCTAAGCATTGATTAGTGGGATCATAATTTCCTCGTGGTATTGTTACATCTAAAGGAGATTCCAATTCCCACAACTCTCAGCTCCTTCGTTTGTTTTTCAAACTTCCAAACTCCGACGGAATCAATACCAAAAGCTTTCAATATCTTTTCCCTACACTTTCCACATAATCCACAACTAACCTTTCACATGATGTAAAACAGCTAGAAATTAAATTGTAACTAATTTTAACACGTTAGAACCACAAACTAGCTGAAGAAAATATGAGAAGAATATGATCCCAATTCCCAAATAGTAAACGTTTGGTTCATGAATTCAAAACTATGATTCAGAATCATTTTTGATTTACGTGTATTTTTTATGAGAAAAAATATTGTAGCGAACCACAAACTATAATTCGAACCATGACACCAATAAAAAATGAAGAAAAAGAACTTCTTTCAATTCAATGGTCACATTGAGAATATTACGTGAACTTCCGGGCCCTTCATTATTTTTTTGCCACTCACGGTTTTTCTCCAAAAGAATCACCAACTTTTTCTTCCATGTTTTTCTTTTTCCCGTTCACACTAATCAAAATCTAATACGTACAAACGTGAAGATAAATACCCCTTATTCACAATCTTTCTCTTCACTTACCAATTTTGTCACCCAATTATACTTGACACGACAAGAAAAAAAAAAAAAAAAAAAAAACCCAATTTTTTCCCCCAATTATACTTAACACAAAAAAAAAAAAAAAAAAAAAAAAAAAAAAAAGAGAGATTTCAAATGGGGAAAAACAACAACGACAATAAAACCTCATCGAAGTCATTAGACGTGTGTGAAAAGCTCTTCAGAGCTTTCAAAGTCTCCCCTCCTTTCCAAACCATTCGCCGAATCTCTTACCGTCCGAGCAGGGACCCCACACCGACCGACGGCCGTGGTCATCGCAGAACCATCGAGATCAAAAGCAATTCTGCTCCGTCTGATCACCATCATCAACAACAGAAAACTGGGAAAACAGCAGATCATGTTCAAACAGTTCCTATCAAGTTCGTCAGTACCGGTACTATTTCTACTACTACTTCTCAGAATAGTAATACTAATAACAATGCTGAGGCCGTTGAGAAGGATTTTTCCAAGAAAAACGACGTCGTTTCATTGCATGACGAAAGAAAGCCTGATGATCATGATCCGATCAACGCTACGTTCACGGATTATATCAACCGTGTGGGGTCCAAGATCAGGACGATGCCGAAATCAGACGGTGGGGATCAACAGAAGAAATCATCAGGCCCGGATCACGGTGGGATGATTAAGAAGAAAGGAAGCTTTAAAGACCATTTTTCTGATTATATTCACCGCACAAAGGTCAAGATCGCATCTCCGGCTAAGTCGGCTCCAAATAATAGTACGGGAAAGAGCGTCTCCTTTAAAAAGGAGTAAGGACGATGCCGAAATCAGACGGTGGGGATCAACAGAAGAAATCATCAGGCCCGGATCACGGTGGGATGATTAAGAAGAAAGGAAGCTTTAAAGACCATTTTTCTGATTATATTCACCGCACAAAGGTCAAGATCGCATCTCCGGCTAAGTCGGCTCCAAATAATAGTACGGGAAAGAGCGTCTCCTTTAAAAAGGAGTAGAAGATGAATCTTGATGGATATATATATATATATATATATATATATATAT